TCGAGCGTTAACAGTTTATAGTAATTCAGGAGAAAGATAGATAGCAGCTACAGTATTCTAGCTTCAAACGTTTGCCGTTCATGGCTGCCAACTTCAAATTAGCAACAATTTGTGGCAAGTTCTCTTCATGCTACGCTGCGCTGTATAAAAACATTTGGGTTTGCGAACGTGATCCAGAATTTGTTTTGGCCAGAGAATTGTTATTGTTTTGCAGCTGCCAGCATTATTATTCTGCGAAGAGTGAAGGTTGGTATTTTGGGGCTGTGTTTTTTGGTGGCTGGTTGTTAGAGAGGTTGTCGTCTCTGGAGGAGGCAGGAGTTGCTGAGGCGTAGTGCAGGTATTCGGCAGGATCCATCCCTTCTGATGTGCAGCTCTGTACCCGCCGCTGTCTCCGCCAGCACATCCAATTCATTATACGCAGACTTGCTTTGCTGAGAGACGGTCTCGAGGGACTCAACTTTTTTTTTTTTTTGTAGTGAAACAAAGCCATATGCAGTTTGAGGGGAAATTAAAAGGAAGAAACTGCCAGGAAGAGATTTTTTCGCATCATATTCTTTTCGTTTTTAGACAAAAGGGGAAAACTAAATTTAGGTTAGTACTTTAAAATTGTTTGTTGTGTTTGGAGGTAATATAATGTGTTTTCTTAGAGTTTTACTGTATATGGAGTCAACAAGTAGTATTTACTTTTTATACAATATAGTGATAAAGATTTATAATACTAATAACAATATCAACAATAATTATCCAGCATTAATTGTATTATTATTATTAGTAGTAGTAGTAGTAGTAGCATTAGTATTATTATTATTATAAATTTATTATTATTATTATTATTATTATTATTATTATTATTATTATGCATGAGGGCCCTCATGGTCAAATTATTATTGTTGTTATTATTATGATTATTATTATTCACACATTTTTGTCCAAAGTAATCACATTTCTGAGGGTCTAAAAATGACTGAAAACTAACAAAACTTTACACACACAACAGAAGTGGTAAACTGATGTGGGTTTCAGAACTCAAAGTGGCTTGATAGCACCACCTACAAACTTTCAACGAAGTGACCTTCAAGTTAAGTACTTGAACAAACATTTACAGACAAATGGTTTGTTCCAGTACCTACAAAAAAGTATCTTGGAGTAAAATCTGAAACCTGACAGAAAGTTATAATCCTTATTGTATCGCATTGTAGCAAACTCCTACTAGATATTCAATCAAATCCACACCAAAGTGTGATGTCAACTAATGTCAACTTAAGCACTTAACCTTTTCCACTTCTGGGCTCACTTCTTTCTCCGATCAATTTTTGAAGGGCCACCTGTCTGACATTTTCTCTAAAATGTTTGCATGAAATGCTCAATTCATTTTTTATTTATTAACAAATAAAAATATATATTTATATATTGTTCTATATTATATATTATTTTCTATTATTAGCATTTTCTAAAAAATATATATAAAATTTTATTTACTAATAACTATAATACTGTACTTACTATATTATTTACTTTTATTAACTAACCATGTTTTATATATATATATATATTCTACGACTGACTCAATATCTATTATTGATATCTACTATTCAAAAATATACAGACAAATGTAATGTAAATCTGGTGAAACGCCTTGATCTGATAACAGTAGGGTTACAGCTGGATATTATTGGGAGATCGCTGACAGGAACAGTGAACAGCTCCACCAGAGCGCGTCTGAAGCTCAAATGCAAGTTTATTTCACAGTCTATGACAGAAACGCCATTGAGCTTCCCTTGACCCTCCTGTATAATGGGCGCGTGACCGTTATAAAACACTCACAGGGCATTAATTTGGACAACTATGTGGAAATATTAAATAGTTCACACAAAAATACACAAAGAGAGACTTTCACTTCATGCATAGTTTGTGAATGAACAGACTTACGTGTAGGCCTACTAGTTGTAGACGCGATCATGCGGCTGTTTTTGTGCCGAGTTTGAAGTTATCAATTAGAGAACAGGAGAAAGTACATTACTTCCATCATTTTAATTTAGCATATTAGTTATGAATTCCAAAAATGATAGTATAATATTGAGAGTTCATTTTCTTGCGGCCCACCTGCAGGATCGCTGAGAAGCAGCGAAACTAAATGACTGCACTGCAGTGTTTATTCTTGTCGAGTGTTTTACAGAAACCGTTTTAACTTGGAAAAACTGTGACAACACATCCATCATAAATCTGTCACTGACACCTAATTAGTTCAGTGTTAAACTTAAAGCATGCTCGGAACCAGCAAATGTTACCTCGGCAACCACTGTAACTCTCTTAACTTTACTCTCGGATCATTAAACTAAAGTCGTGCCATCTCGCATCGGCTTCCCCGAGGATGTTTGTGCCGGGTTGCCATCAATCAGAAAAATCCATGCCATAAATCTGACAAGTGCCAAAGACGAAGAGCAGCACGCAGCCGTGTGGTTGCTTTGATCACGCTGCGTGTTTCCGTGTGTGATATCAGCTGCTTCACCTCAGGCCACGCACAGGTGCTGCGTTCTTTTCCCATCACAGCAATCAAAAGAAACCCGGCTTGTGATGTGTAGTCAAGTGGCAAGTGTACGTTTATATGCAGGATGAAAGCAGGATTGGTTAGCGGATTCAAATTAAAATACTCCTAACCATGCTGGAACCGCTTGGATTGGTGAACCAAGCAATATTAAATGGCATAAATCTTTTCGCTGGGACATTATTCTTTTGTGTGGGTGTGAATCTTGGTGTGTTTTATTTTCCTGTTAAGATATTACGCTTCTCTACAGCCTCGTTTACACTAATACGGTTTACACTTATACACCAATTTTAGTTTTGAAATGCATAAGTTTTGCTACAGTTACGCCATTCATTCACATCTCCCCGGAATTGTCGAGCCCTGAAAACTGAGCTTTTTGAAAATGCTGAAGAGGCCATTTTTCGTTTGGAAACAGTGCTGCTCCTTGTCAGTGTAGATGGGGAAAACGAAGACATCTGAAAACAGAAGCTTGGCTGCAGACAATCGCCTATCTGATTAGGCCCATTTCCTCAATATTAATTGCACAAAGTTGAGTCTTGCATCCTTTTCTTAAGTTCAGACTTCGTAAGTTTGATATGGAAAACAAACTCCCGAGGACACTTCGGGTAAAAACAGTATACTTTATAACGTCATTCGCATCATACTGGCTACGTTGTCTTAACAATAAAAATGAAAAAATTATAAGAGGAACTGCCTATTTTCATTGAGATATTAACTTAACAGAGACTAAAAGTGTTGAGGCATAGTGTAGCTACATATTATATGACCGTCATCTTCACTGTATGCATATTCATAACAAAACGGAGCCTATAATATTACTGCCTCCTTTCGTTTTTCTTCAAAAAATATGAAACACACCCTGTCTCCTTTGCTGAACATCAGTTTTAATAATCAATAATGGCCAATATGAAAGTATAACATACAATATGTATACAAATTAGGAAATACAGGCAAGCTCAGCCAAAACGCATTACCTGAGAACAAGTAATAGATTCAAAAGACTATTACATAGAGACAAGATGAATTAAATATCACGTTTGACAAGTATACTGAGATGAAATCCAGCGGTAGATCCTTCATGAACTGTCCAACCTGTGCTGCTCTCACCCCGGGAGCTGTGCTCAAAGCACCTGCTGACTGCCTGGAGCTCAGACGTGCGCATACACTGCAGCGCATGCCAGAGTGTGTGTGTGATTGTAGCTGACGCTGACAACAGAGGTGCGGATCCAAATGCAGGGTTTATTAGCAGGATAGTCAGGCAAGCAACAGTCAACACAGGAGCAAACAGATGTATACGGGCAATCTAGAGTCGTAGTCAAATAAACAGGCAGATGGTCAAAAAGACAGGCAGCAAACCGGAATAAACAAACAAAGGTTGAAACACGGAAGGAAAACGCATCATGAAGTGTGTGTGTGCTGTATTAGCAATCAGTTCAGCTGTGTCTGTCTGCAATCATGGGAATCTAGGCCAGGTGTGTGATTGATGCATGACTGAATCTTGTAGTCCATTTAATGGCGTATTTGTAGTTCTATGCAATACCTTGTGTTTACCAGCAATCATGATCGCTTGGGACCATGACAGTTTCAGTTTTCAGCGGTGTAGTGTGGATGGAGATCTTTTCAGAAATGCTAGGTGAAACGCCAGAGTGGACGTGGATTGTTTTCATTCTAAAACTAAAGCTGTTTCAAATCTAAAACAATGTTAGATGTGTTGCTTTAATTTTCTTTCCCTGATTAGGGAATTTAATTAGGAGAGTTTGCTGTAAAAAAATTGCAGAATTGTATCTCTTTACAATAAAAAATCTTAAATATAAAAAAAAAGTTTTAAAATGGATTATTGGTTATTGGTTCTCAACCCGATTGGGTAGATTTACTTGGACATGGGAAAATTAAGATCTGTTAAAATGATTTTAAGATCTACAACACAATATTTCAGTGAATTTGACATTTTAAGACTGGGTTAAAGTGTTGATGATTTTTGTGTGTGTGTGTGTGTGTTGAACACAAAATAAGATATTTCTAAGAATGTTGGGAATCTGTAGCTGTTGGCATCCATAGTAGGAAAAGCGTAGTATGGAGGACTACTAGCAGTGGCGATTATAGGAGTTATTTTTTATTGAGTGGGGGGGGGCTTTTTTGTCATGAGGCTTTGCCAGAACAGATAAAAGCCTCAGGACACAGCTTTTTTTTTTTTTTTTTGGTGGGAGTAAAATAGTGCGAACCCATGCCACCCCGCTAGATCTTTCCAACATTTTTCAAAACATTTTATTTTCTGTACTCAAACAGCAGAATGAAACTCAAACAGCTCAGGCACCAGTGGAGGATGAGTAAATGATGATAGAATATTCCTTTTTGAGTGAAGTATACCTTTAAAAGGAAATCTGTAGATTTTGGCTGGAATATGTCAAACTCGCATATCTGGTCAATCTAACATCCATCCGGCCGTCCCCTTCAGGCTCTATGGTGAACGGCTGGGGCTCGGCTTCAGAAGATGATGACAGAAACTTCTCCAGCAGGAGGTCTAGTGCCGGCAGCTCTTCTGACGGCTCGCTCTTCACCCATTGCAGCTTTGCGCGAGCCCTGGTGGCAGCCGCAGACAAGGCTGGTTACCGTCTGGATGGCACCAGCCTGAGCAAAAGAGGTCGGTTTTGGAAGAAACAAAGGAATTTCAGTCTGGAAGTCTGCTGTCGACTACAAAATGGCTTAATCTTAACAGAATAATGCTTCTTTTCTGCTTTCCCATGTTATGCTGGCGAACTCTCGCTTTTATCTGAAGGGTTGTTGAAAGCATGGTTCAAATACTAACATCTTTATGGTGGGTTTTGGTGACGGCTGTTTTCACTTAACAGGATTTCGGCTTTCAGCAATGATTCAGTTTACGCTTCGAGTGACTGAATCAACTGGAAAGATCTGATGCTTGAGTCTTCAGTTTCTTTTACATGCTTCAGGTTGAACTTCCTTCAATCTTCTTGATTGCCTAAATCTTCATCCACTGGATTTTCAGAAGTCTCTTCCTTGACCTTTTCCCCAACAGCCTGAAAATGAAACGTATTGATTGGTGCTGCTGCTTCTGAATCAAACTAACTATCTCTCCAGCTTCCCTTTCAAAATTTGTTTATCATCTCTGTGAATATTGTTGCTTTTCAATAACATAACATGCTAACCGAAGATTTTCTTTGCTCTCTGCAGATAAAGGTCTACCTCATAGACCTCGTCCCGCTAGCCCGTTCTCCACAGATGGAAGCACGGTGGGCACACACAGTCTGGGGCACCAGCGGGCAGCAAGGCCCACACGTAAACACAAAGGCCCTGGCACTGTCCCGAACCGCCGTGATGCCAGTGCGGATGGTGAGATTTTTTAATGAAGCCTGATTTGGTTTGGACCACTGGTGTTCACTGTCCTGCAAAGTTTAGCTCCAACCTGAATCAGTGTATTCATAATCACTCTAAACTTCCAGGAATGTTTATTGGGATTACTCTTTAAAGACTGGTTTAGACCAAATATTTAAGTTACTGAAATGACAAATTCTAATAAATAATGATTTATTAGTAGACAGTAATGTCATACCAAATTGGTGGGGACGATTAATAATCATAATGGAGTTGGCTCTTGGGGTATTTCAGCCTATTTCTGAAGACGGTAAAATGAACCTCATAGTAAGCAGCAGATCTCTCTTGCATGTTGTCTTGAATTAATGTGGTACTCAACATTTGCAAAAGGAGACAGATGGGGTCATGTTTCAGTAGCTAATTTCCAAGTCATTAAAATAATTTATCAAATACAACACAATCAATATTACCCTTTTGAGACCATTTGTGCAGATACAAAAGACACCTACTGGCAAATGATGATGGATGCATAATGTACATACATGAAAATGATGTACCTGTTGTCTCATGTGGCTCTTGTCGCTTCTGTTCCAGATCTGCCTCCACCTCCAGAGCCTCCACCCTGCCAGACAGCTCGCATCCCCGGGTCGAGGAACGTTCCCCATCCCTGCGACCGCAAAGCTTCCTCTCTGGAGAGGCAGCCTATGATGGGCCTTGAGGAAATGAGAAGTTCCTTGGACCGGCAGGCCCGAACCTCATTGGACCGCCACCAACAAGTCCAGGACAGACTGGGGTCCATAGAGAGAGGAGATGAAAGCAGAAGAGGACAGAAAAATGGTCCCTTTTCAGGTAAAATGTTTCATTCATTCATTTATTTTTAATTGCTTTTCCGGGGCCAGGTCGCAGGGGCAGCAGTCTCAGGAGAGAACCCCAGATTTCACTTCCTCCATCTCCCCTGGGGAGATCCCAAGGTGTTCCCAGGTGAGCTGAGAGACATAGTCCCTCCAGCGTTTCATGGGTCTTCCCCAAGGCCTCCTCCCAGTGGAACATGCCTAGAACACCTCCCTTGGTAGGCATCTTGGAGGCATCCCAAACAGCCTCCTCAGCTGACTTCTCTCGTTGTGGAGGAGCAGCGGCTCTACTACAGGCTCCTCCCGGGAGACAGAGCTCTTTACCCTATCTATAAGGGTGCATCCTGCCACCCTCCGAAGGAAACTTATTTCTGTTGCTTGTATTCGAGATCTGGTGAGACCCAAAGCTCATGACCATAGGTGAGAGTAGGAACGTAGATTGACCGGTAAATCAAGAGATTTGCCTTTTGGCTCAACTCTTTCGCTACTATCACGGACCGGTACATCGACCGGTCGAAACATCGAAACCATACTAGAATCAAGTAATCCAAACCAGTATAGCCATGCTGTTCATTAGTCTGTCTTGCAGGGTTTAGTACCAGACTTAATTAAAACAACTGAACTAATTAATTGGAGTGCTTAAGAATATTTTAAGCTTAAGAGGAACCCGGAGCTCAAGGAGCATCAGACAGCACTGACCTAGGTTAACACCAGCTTAAGCCTGAACTTGGTCATCAGAACCAAGTATTTCTTAGTTAACCAGATTGTTCAGAAATACATACTGGTCAACAAGCTTCCAAAATCTGATTGCTTCTTCTGTAGGACAGAGCCAAACCACGTCTGTTCAGCATATCACTCGTAAAGGCCATAAGAAAAGTCTTCTTGGAGTTTACCTTTTTTTTAATTGGCATAAAAAAATACCTTTTTATGAAACACTTGAACCTGATTTTACATGTCCACATGAGTTAAATCACTCTGGCATGGTAAGCATGCTCTTAATTCAGCAAAACATGTCTGTAGAATATTATCTTGCTATCATGGTCATCAGATGCAGATGTTTGACAGCACCAGCTGTGGGCCCTTGGCATTCATTTATAGTCCCTGCTGTAAGGAGGCCAAGCTGGAGCAAACAGATTGCTTTGTCTCTCCTTCTTAGTGAGCTCTTCCATGGCCAACACCGGCCTTCTCCAGGAACCAGCAGACAGGAGGCACACTTAGCTGCACAGATGTACCCTAATCGTTCCAGCCCTCATTTTTCACTGTATACACACACATGCTGCAATGAAGCCCAGCTCCATCTGTGCCTGTCTGATCATTAGGATCCACCATTCTAGGTTTCTAGCCCAAATGAAGCATAAAGAACCAGGCTTGGATCTGGCTTGACATACAGTAGAGGGGGATGTGGGTTGGGAAGCCCGTCTGGTTTGGTCTCATATGTCTTCATTTTCATCTTAAACTTTGCTGTGGAGGTTCGTTTAGCCATCTGAGCGTATTGCTAATGAGTACGGTTTGGTCAAAGCTGGCGAGAGCAGGTCACCTCAGAATTAGTTAGAGAGAAACCAGTCAGGGATATGTTACAAGTGGGAACAAGCTAGCAAAAATATATTTGCCACTAAGTGTGTGGTTTGGATTTTTGTATATTTTCAGAAGAGGCCCTATTGCCATACAACAAACCATCATTCCCATCCCCTGGTGGGCACAGCTCATCTGGGACGGCCTCTTCTAAAGGGTCAACGGGTCCTCGCAAAGGAGAAGGGACGAGGGGACAGCACCAGCGCTCCACCACGGAACAAGGAGAAAGCAGCTACATGGGGACCAACGCGCAGTTTTCCGGAGAGTTATGTGAGTCTGAACAAGTTCAAGGTGCATGGAGACAGCAAACAAGAAAGTTGACAAGCAATTTTGATTAAAAAAATCTTTGCACACTGGTCTTAATTTATTCAAATGAAGACATTTCAATTGAGATGAAAGTGTTTTTAGGGGAAAAGAGTGATTAGAGTGTTTTGTGTTGAAGCTTGATAGTGTAATCTGTAGGTGTGTGATGAGACACAAGACTGGGTTCACGAGAACGATTTTTAGTCTTTAAAGAAATCCTCAATGATGAGATATAAATTAGAAAGGGCTTTTATTTAGCTGAAAAAATAATTAAGCTTCTATTTGAATTAATTATATCCAGTAATGAACATGTAAACTCAACTGGCAGGCAAGTAATTGCACAAAGAATTATAAAAATAAATAACATTTTTATCCAATAAGTTCAATTAACAACTGCTGTAGTTCAAAGTAATGCTCTCTTGAAACTCAAAAAGCATCTTTATATTTTTCTTTAAGCATAAAAGGTGATAGCATACGACAAAGAACAGTCTAAGATATGGTTATTATTGCCCTTATTTGTATATGACAGTATGTAGAGAGGAAGCAATGTTGAAAGTTGCGCAAACCGGGACTTAAACTGTGCAATGGCACTATACTGTACACTCAGAAATAAAGGTACGAAATCTGCCACTGTGGCTGTACATTTTTGTTCCTAACAGGTCCTTAAAGGTACATATTAATGGCTCATTTATTAATTAATTTTCATCCGCTTTTCTGGGGCTGGGTTGCGGGGGCAGCAGTCTCAGGAGAGGACCTCTGACTTCCCTCTCCCCAGACACTTCCTCCAACTCCTTCGGGGTCCAGAGGCGTTCCCCGGCCAGCCAAGAGACATAGTCTTTCCAGCGTGTCCTGGGCCATCCCCTGGTGGGACATGCCTGAAACATCTTCCTAGGTAGGCGTCCAGGAGGCATCCAAAACCCATCCAAGATGCCCAAGCCACCTCAGCTGGCTTCTCTTGATGTGGTGGAACAGTGGCTCTACTCTGAGCTCTCCTGGGTGACAGAGCTATTAGTAGATATAAATCAAATGTGTACCTAGTAGTACATTAAGGGTACAAAATTGAACCTTAATAGGTACAAAAGTGAACCCTAATTGTACTAATGTTGACCTGTTTGGTACAAAAGTATACCTTTTATAAAGGTACCATGCCAGTGACAGATTTTGTACCTTTATTTCTTTGTGTGTCAGCGCACTGCCCAAAAGGCTATTGGCACTGACCATGATCTGCTTGTGAATCCAGACATATTGTCACACCCATACTAATCAATGTTGTGTTGCTTTTTATTTTTTTAAAACTGACTGATGTGTTGTATTATTTACAGAGTAAGCATTTTGGATGGAAACTGAAGAATGCCTTTATCTGTTCTGGAAAAGCCTCAACTGCTTGGTGCAGTGGTCTTTCGAAACGTCAGAAGGAGAAAAGAAAAAAAATGATGACAAGGACAAACTGTAAATGTGATGTAAAGATGGACATGCAACCCACAAGATCCGCAACATCCCTCACCTTCCTCCTTAAACTATTCATTCACAGAAAAAAAGAAAAATGTTGGGGACGAAAAAGAGAAGAAAAAAAAAAAAACACAATGTAAGGCCTGAGATTTGAGTCGCCCAGCTTTGGTGAACTTGTGGAAAGGAAATCGAGTTTCCTGTAAATATATTCTTGACATCGGAGATCGAAAAATGACATTGTTGTTATTGCATTGCTATGCAAGCCGAGTTCCGTTTCCGCGCTCTCCTCCCTCTTACGCTGTTGGTCGTTTGTACGATATGTGAATTGATGGGCTGTGGTGCCATAGAAATTATGTTGTCATCCATCATTTGTTAATACTTCTCATGAATTAATTGTTGTCATTATGATAATTATTTTAATTAATTATTTTCTTTTGCACTGCAATTTTGGTGATAAGCACAAAACCATAGCTCCTGCTGACATGAAGAATTGGAGGAAAGGAAATGTGAAGGGGAGTTTCTGTACTGTAACTAGAGATATGAAAATATATAACCGTGTACAGAGATATATTAAGATATGCCTGCATCTATGCCGGCGGGAAAGACTTACAGTTCTGATGAACTTTTGGCGATGGGGTTCCCGCGAGAGGAGCCAGACCCTCTCGGGCTTGGAAATGCTCACGGATGGGTCGGGAAACTGTTTGCAGGGAAATTTGTTTGGTCTCAACACATCCCCCTACTAGTTAACAACACTCAGTCTAGTCCACTTGGTCCAATTGGAATGTTTTTAGGCCAGATCTTTGAGCTACACTGGACTACAGGTACCAACTTTGCCTCTTCCCCTTCCCACCGTTTGCCGCTAGCTTGTTTTGCGTTTTTTTGAGCATAGCAGAAATAGACATCAACATGGCTAACGTTTGGAAGTGAATTGTTCATTGCGAGGTAATTGGGCTTTTTTTTTCTTTTTTTGGTCTTATTTTGTTGATCTCCACTCCAAATTAGATTCCAAGCACTTGAACCGTGAGTAATTTAAAAGCCATATGAACAAGACTACAATGCCCCTGCCTTCCCGTAAGGCTTCTGCCTTACTATAGAGGTCTTGTAGACGTCAATTCCCGTGCTCCGATCTCGAGTGGAGAATCAAGTCAGGAAACTTAATTTCGATTTTTATTTTTTAGCACTTATCTTGATTCTTTTGTACATTTCCGAGTCCCAAAGTCTTGTTCTACTTTACCTATGCAGGGCACTGAATCACCAACGCAATCTCACGCCAATTCGTAAGTTTTCGATTTAGTATCTAATTCGCATACATAACATATACGTTTTAGTCTGCTTTCCTTATCCCCAGTGAGGTGTAGGATTAGGGATGGGGTTTGAGGACAAGCCTTCTTTTAAAAAACGTACATTTTCATATGAGTGAAATCGTATGAATTCGTAACACATAAAATAGTTACGTTTCCTTGTGAGATTAGGCTGGATTCTTTAACGACATTCATTGGTATCTTGATTCAGATATTCGTCCTGTACTCTTATGTGGAAGTGTCGAGCTAAAGCCAATAACGTTATGCATTTGAGGTTTCGAAAAATGTGGTTATAACGCTCACATGATCACTAATGAACGTTGGTTGTGCAATTTATTTAATTAATAATTTTTTCACATCCTTGGTGTGCTGTAAAACGTCAATTCGACCTCCAGAAATACGTTTCCACTGTCTCCGGCCACAACATACAAAGTACGTTTACCAAACAGTCCAGTTGGTTCTTTTTTGCTTGATGAAATTTTACATATATAAATATATTATAAAAACGAAATGTACAAAAGGCTGCTCAAAAAAAGGATATTTTTTACTGTGGAATCTTCAGGAGTTACTGGTGAAATGACTGTTTTCTTTCGTTGTTTCCGTCGTCGTTTTTTGTACAACTATACAGAGGAGAGCTCTCTCAAAGCGGGCCGACGTCCCGCTCCACGTCTTTCTCTCAGAAATCACATCATTTCAGCGCTAGTGTCCAGCGGTTTGGAATAATGAGGTGCGAACGAGTATCTCAGGTGATTTTACATCTATATCGGTGGTGTTGATGTGGGTGTATATAAATGTATATATTCATATGCATCCTCACTTAAGAGAGTTCATTCCATGTTCGCTATTGAAACATTTCTCCACCCCTTGTACCTGATGGATTGCTATGCTCTCTCTTTCTCTCTCTCTCTCTCTCTTCCTTTTTGGCCCTGTCGACAGTGGATTTCCATTCCTCTTCCTCATCTGAAAACGTGCCGGTACACTAAATGTCCATAAGACAAAGATGTCACTTACAGAACATACCAAAATTAATATTGATATTTCTAATGTCTAATGCATTTTAGTGTCTTTTTTAATACTTGTTTCTTTAAACATCACAGTGTTGTTGTTTTTTTGTATTTATTAAGATAATAAAGGTATATTGTGAAAAATTGCATCAAGGTTTGGGGCGTGTTTCTCCATTTTTCCTGCACTCTTTGTCTTTCAAGGGCTGAATTGGCGGAATTTGAGATGCTTGGATCATTTTTTATCATTTGTATGCTCAACCTCCTGCTGCGTTCTCAACAGAAAGCCAACAAAAGGATGATAAATACAAGAACGGTGACAAAAGTCATCAATCCTTCCCAGAGATGAGACACATACTGTTGTTTTTTTTGTTGTTGTTTTTTTTTGCCATGTTCTCTTTTTCTATTCGGCTCTCCATCTGTACCCTAATGACTTATATGTATGTTTTTCCAGAAATGTATTACATACTATAAAAAAATAGATACTTTAAAAAACATTACAGTAGATATTGACATTGGAGAGCAACCTACTCAATTTCAAGGCCACTGCTTAATCATATTTGAAGCTTTCCTAATAAGAGTAAGCCCATTATTTGTAGCCTATTTCATGAGTTTAATGTGTTATAAAGCATTATACACTCACCGGGCACTTTATTAGGTGCAGCTGTCCAACTGCTCGTTATTTGTTTCTAATCAGCCAATCACATGGAAGCAACTCAATGCATTTAGGCATGTGGACAAGATCAAGATGATCTGCTGCAATTCAAACTGAGCATCAGAATTGGGAAGAAAGGAGTGACTTTGAACGTGGCATGTTTGTTGGTGACAGGTGGGATTTCAGAAACTGCTGATCTATTTTTACTTTTACGCACAACCATCATAGGGTTTACGGAGAATGGTTTGAAAAAGAGAAAATATCCAGTGAGCGGCAGTTTTGTAGGCGCAAATGCCTTGTTGATGCCAGAGGTCAGAGAAGAATTGTTAGATTTGAGCTGATAGAAAGGCAACAGTAACTCAAATAACCACTTGTACAACACATCCAACCTTGAGGCGGATGGGCTACAGCAGCAGAAGACCACACCGAGTGCCACTCCTGTCAGCCAAGAACAGGAAACTTAGGCTTCAATTTGCACAGGCTCACCACAAATTGGACAATAGAAGATTGGAGAAACGTTGCCTGATCTGATGAGTCTCAATTTCTGCTGAGACATGAGAATGGAATCTGAATTTGGCATAACAACATGAAAGCATGGATTCATCCTGCCTTGTATCAACGGTTCAGCCTGGTGGTGGTGGTGTAATGGTGTGGCGGATATTTTCTTGGCACACTTTGGGCCCATTAGTACCAACTGAGCATTGTGTCAATACCACAGCCTACCTGAGTATTGTTGCTGACCATGTCCATCCCTTTAAGACCACGCGTACCAATCTTCTGATGGCTACTTCCAGCAGGATAACGTGCCATTTCATCAAGTGCAAATCATCTCAGACTGGTTTCTTGAACATGACAATGAGTTCACTGTAGTCAAATGGCCTCCACAGTCACCAGACCTCAATCCAATAGAGCACTTTTGGGATGTGGTGGAACGGGAGATTCACATCATGGATGTGCATCTGACAAATCAGCAGCAACTGTGTGATGCTATCATGTCAAAATAGAGCAAAACCTCCAATCTAATGGAATATTTCCAATCTATGCCACAATGGATTAAGGCAGTTCTGAAGGCAAAAGAGGGTACTAGTAAGGTATACCTTATAAAGTGGACGGTGAGTGCATTTAAGAAAACTTAAATGAGATGTTTAAAAAATAAACATTGTATTAAATGAGTGAAGATGCACACCGAATTATTAGTGTAGCTTCATAATGTTTAGATTGATCCACTGAAAGCATATGGTCTGTTTTGAGGATGCTTTGAAATTGTTTTGGTATTTTTCTGTACTTTAAAGAAGTCAGAACATTGCTGTCTATGGAAGAGGTAAGAGCTTTCAGATTTCATCTAAAATATTTTAATATGTATTCTGAAGTTGGACGAAGGCCTCAGGGGTTTGGAATGGCATAAGGATGAGTGAGTAATAACATCATTTTCATTTTGGGGTGAGCTAACTCTTTAATCTGGCACCTGGTGGTAGTTTCTTTAATTGTCAAACAAACCCTATTAAACTGGCAACCGAACTTGTAAAATTTGCAAGATGGTTAGTTATTATAAAACCCTTCAATATCATTTGCCTGCTGCAGGCATGGTACAACTGCAAAGGTGCTTGATAGACCCTATACACATTTCCAGGTTTCTCAGAAGACGCATAGCTGGGTAAACTTAAAATTGATGAAGTGGAGAGTACAACAAATCATTTTTTTACAATCCTTGCTTTGTTTGCTGAAATAATGAAAGAAAAACTTCACGATGGTGTTATCAAGACTTTCAGAAAAAGGGAAAAAATAGTGTGAGACCGATGACGACTGCCAGAGGAGAGAAAAACGTCAAATTTACTCTAGCCCCATAGACGCTGCAGTAGAAACACCTCACATTAGCGATCATGCGTTTTTTTGTAATTGGATGCAAAAGATAATATAATACATTCATAAATGTTTATACGTATTTTATACATCTAAATCGTAAAATCTTTCAAAGATTTAAGATTATGATGACCGTTAAACGCGTCATAACAGGCTTGTGAAAAGGCTTCATTATTATGCTGAAATGAAAGTGTAGTTCCTGACCATTTCAAGAAAATAGGAACTATTAATTTTGTGTCAGTCCTATACTGTACATGACCTTACTACAGAAGGGTCAGGCTTTAAACAGGTAAACTATAGAAACTCTTTTTCAATGAGATGCTAATGGTTTAATCTAATTCAATGATCTATGCTAAGCTAAGCTTAAAAGGGGTCTCGCCAGATCCGGAGACCGGCTGAATGGATTCAAAAAAGGTAAAATTCAACTGTTCAACTCTAGGGGAGTGGTAAAATCAGCCTATATCCAAAAAAGTGGAGTGTTCCTTTAAGTCGATCATTCCAAATCTGTGATTTTTTTTATAATATCGCATCTTTATAATATCACAAACTCATTCAAGCAATTCAAGATGGCAATGCAGACAATTTAAATGGGGCAGCACTGAACAGAATATGAGGATCTAAATCTCAGCGTACAGTTTCCAGATTGTCCCTTGCTGTGCAGCATGTTGTGTAAAAAGTTTTATTTATAGGGTATATGCAGAGCTAATGTGTCTTCCTATGCTGATAAACTTCCGGTGAGCGGTTAATGTGAATTGTTTTCCAGTTTATACAGTTCCTTTTACAGCATTGATGTTGTAATGTAATTAAAATACAATCAGTTAAATAGATTTTGGTATTCGTTTGGTTGCTCAAATGAGACAAAAAGCCATTTACCAGAACGCGCCCGTCAAAATCAGCGGGCTAGCTCAGTAGCTCAATTGAATATACAGGGGTAAAATAAATGTTCCTATTTTAAAGACGTGGTGGGGTAAAATGTAATTGAATGCAGTGCTTCTTGTGAAATCTGAGAACTACTTTATATTGGATATCACTTAGCCAGTGGAGATCGCTGATTTTTTAAGAAAACACACCTTAAACGTACCAATTTTGTAATGGCATACAATTCACCGGAAGCACTTAACGTAGATAAGTGTAAACAATTTGTGTTTTAATTTGTAGGGACAAATTAAAAGTCCTTTAACATACTTCCGCATATACCCTATTTGGGTGTGATTATGGGAAACTGAACCTGAAATGTGTCTATAAAAAAGGTTAGTGAAAAGTGGCAGAGGAACTGCCATGTTTTGGATACGTGCTTATGTGTAAATGCAAAAATGTAATCAGCCAATCACATGGCAGCAACTTAGACATTTCTGAGGTTTTGACTTATGTTTTTCATGTTCAAAGTTCAAAGTCTGTGAAGCGCTCGGATCACAGATCTGATAAATGAGATTAATAAATGACATGCCAAATGCCCAAAATTATTTGGACAACTTGTGCAAACCTGCCATTCAAGTGACTAGGCTTTTAATGCTGAGAATATAATGTTCCTGCAGGGTGAAATTGCAGTACAGATGTCAAATGATCACAACAGTAAAGGAAATCGGTCAATTTAGTAAATCAAAGAAGTACATTGGCGAAAATTGCACAAATTATGTCAGACTAATAGAGAATCTACTTATATTGGTTATTGGTGAAACATAAAAGGATTATGTTTTAATTTGCTGTAATGACGAAACATGTACAAAAAATATTTAAAAATCCCATTGGTGCAGTGTCAGATGGCATCACATAAAAGTGTTTAGTCATTTGCATGTACAACTATTTAAGTTTCTAACCCTTAAGAGTTTATATTAACCACAAATTAGCTGGTTTAACCAAGATATTTGTCATAAAACTGGTTATACTAATGATAATTAATACATCCAAACACACATTTAGCAAAGCCAAGGCTATTTTTCTCTTTAAGGAAGATAATTTTACTCTTACATCCTAAATTCAGAACATAAATTAGCTATGATTTTGTTACACCATCCATATTTTAACCATGATATTTGTTGTAAAACTAGTTATACAAATACATCAAAACACACATTTACTATAGTAAAACCCAACAGTCAACTTTATCAAATAAAATGAGTGTAGTGAACTCACAATTTACTGAAAGTTAATTCTACTCGTTTGAAAAGAGTTTTGAACTCAGTGTTGAAGGTTAATTAAACCTTATTACTTTAACTTAAATAGTTCACAGTACTAATATAGATTAGTTTTTAACAAATGGTTTGTAGCAATCGTTTCCTCAAGCGGTTTGAGTTGCCTTAACTTATTGGGTTTTGCAGGACTCAGCTGGTTTGAGTTCTCTTCATTTATTGGGTTTTACTGTGCTTAAATTGCTTCATTTACTCAAATGGATTAAGTTCACAGAACTCATTCTGATTAGTTTTTTTCACCTCAAATGGTTTGTTGCAATTGGTTTCATCAATCGGTTTTACCTTAACTTTTTAGGTTTTACAGTGTGTAGTAAAACCACTGCTATTTTTCTTCTAGGGGAAGATAATTTTACTCTTACATTCTAAATTCAGAACATAGATATGATTTTGCTACACCAACCATAGTTTAACCATGATATTTGTCATATAACTGGTTATACAAATGGTA